CATTTGAGAGATAGATGGCGGTAATGCACTTATAAGTCTGCGATCCTCCGTAAAGCAAGAAGAAGAAGAAGAAGACGCGTCACGCGCCGGCTGAAGAAGAAGATGTGAATGCGCTCAGGACAGTTCGGACATTGCGTTGAATCAGAGGTAAAAAACGATATAAATACTGTTCAGTTTCTTGCACAGACCAATCGTTTCGTGTCTTTACACATCAATGTATCGTCACGAGCCGCAGGGTTTAATTTGGTTTTGTTTGTGTATGTTTTTTTGACTCTCAAATCCGTGATTCCCATTCACTTCCATTATATGACTGACAGGCTGCAACGGTTTGAGTTAAAAATCTTCGTTTGTGTTCTACTGAAGAAACAAAGTCACCTACATCTTGGATGCCCTGGGGGTAAGCAGATAAACATCAAATTTTCATTTTTGGGTGAACTATCCCTTTAACATAACTGAGGATATTCACAGTGTTAAACGACTTGGCACAAGCTGATTGGTTCATGTTGCATACGCAGCCATTGAGCTTGTTGCTTTACATTTAAATGGCTGGTTGGCATCCACTTGAGAATTTCGCAGCGCGCTTTCAGAGTTCCTCTGAAACACTCCACCTTCCCCAACTCAACCTGTATAGATATACTAGGGATTATGTCATATGCTATTTGTGCAGCAGCAGTATGTCTTAAATACTCACAGCACTGTATTGCCGTATGCATTGGCAGTAGCAAGTTCCTGTACTTGCTTGAAGCAACAGCAAAAATATACAACTACAGCGATAACCAGCAGCAGCAGCGTAGCAGATTTATTCCGTCAAGACCAAATACTTTAACATTGTCATATCCATTACCATGCTAAAATCTTCCGAGAGTTGTCATGATAGAACTGTTTTTGTTCAGAATATAAATAAGTCAATGGAACCCAAAACTTTTAAGATCCAAAAAGAACATAAAGGTAGCTTTTAGTGAATTCATATGAACAAATCAACATATTGAGCAACTTCAACATCAAATATTGTGACACAAACCTCAAAGGTGATGATATTTGGCCATGTGACATTTTATGTTACCATATTTGATGCATGCATTGATCAATGTTTTGATTCGATTTAAAAGTCTATATAAAGTGTATAAAGGCTTAAATTTCAATCAGTTTTTCAGAATCATATTAATTTCACACTACTTTTATATCCTTTTTGGAGTTTTTTGTTATATAAAAACTGCTTAAACATTTTTCAACACATCTTCTTTTGTGTTCCACAGAAGAAAGAACAACCAATGGGTTGAATAAACAATCACTGAATATTAATTTTGGGACAAACAATTCCTTTCACAAAACCCAAAGAAAGCAGAACGTTTTCTGTGAAGTGCAAACGATTCAATTCAAAGGGAAGTCATCACCATAGTACGTTTAGCATGTGTTGTTTTTTACACACCATAAAACAAGAGCAACTGTGCACACGAGTGCACAGAGCGACATATTCGTAAGAGCGTGTCGGTAAGGTGTGTTGTTGCGTGGCAGGTGAGGAATCATAGGGATAAGTTGCCGTTTAACAGGATTTTAAACGGGTTGGCATGCATTGGCGGGCTGGAGCTGTGCTCACTCAAGAGAGACAGAAGCGCCGCTACACTTCCCACTAAATTGTTTTCCTCAGCGTCCTCAGCTTCCCTCAGTCGCCCTGAGGCTCACTGTGGTAACAAAAGCTGAAAATGACTCCCATTTAAACGGTATTGAGTTGCATTACCATGGTCAGGTGGGAGAGTCTGGAAGCCATTATGGAGGTTGGCAGAGGCCACTTGGTGCTGCAAGGCGCAAAACTAGACAAAAATAAGAAAAG